GGCCCCTTCGAGGCACCGACTCATTGGACCTCTCGCACAGTACCCCTGCACCTTTTCCCCCACACCAGCCGGCTCCTTCCTATCCCACATCGCGATCCCATTGTGGCAGTCGCATTCAGCATACAACAGACCGGATCGGACGGAAAACCCAAAGTCCGGAGAGGAGAAGACTGGCGCCGCAGCGGCCACAACCAGACGTGCTCTATGCACGATCAACCCTACCATCACACACCCGACCACTACATCCAATGTGCGAGACAATATCACGACGACGCACACCCGCTACATGTGTGGGGACACGACCACGACGGCGCCTACCGTCAACTGCCCCTCGCACAACCGGAGGTAGCATACGTGCTACTCATCACACCCGACGGCCCAACTCTCTGGCACCACCACGTGCTCCTGTTCGGCTCCGCTGCCAGCGTCTGGGGCTACAACCGCTTCGGCGATGCACTCACAGCACTCGCCCGCGTACTAACACTCACACCTGCCCTGCACTACGTTGACGACTACGGGGCCATACAACCCAGTCACATCGCGACCAGTTCCTTCTCCTCATTCAGCAAGCTCAACTCACTACTTGGATTTCATATGAAGACATCCAAGGAACAACCACCGGCGCCCTCTCACAAAATACAAGGGGTTTATGTCGACCTGTCGGCAACACACGCAACCCTTCGACCGTGCCCAGACCGAGTCCGTACACTGTCACACACCCTGTCTCAGTGTCTCGAACAGGGAGGTATGTCGAACGACACCGCCCGACGCACTGCCGGCAAGTGCAACTTTGTCACCGGACACCTGTTCGGTCGAGTAGGGCGATCGGCGTTAGCCGCCCTATACCACAAAGCACACAGCACTTCCGACCGGATCGACAAACCAACTCGAGCTGCCATTCTGTGCCTCCTGAATATCCTGCAACATAGCTCACCCCGCAGCGTCCCACTGTCCACCAGGCCCAAAGACCTTTCAATCATATACACCGACGCGTTCTGCCGGCAGGGCGAGACGGTCTGGCGTGTCAAGGACGCAGGGGATCAGGATTGTCTGCCACCCGATTGGTCGCACGACAACGGATGGGCAGCGGTGCTGTTCAGCCCACAGGCACAAAGGACCCGCGTGGTCTCGGGCGCACTACCCCCTAACTTACTCCAACAAGTGAGTACTGGCACCAACGCCATTTATTTCCTCGAGGCATGGGCCGCGTTGATCGCTCCTGTGATCTTTCGACCATGGATCACTGACACATACCTCCAGTTGTGCGACAACGAGGCGGCCAAACACGCCATCAGACGGGGAGTTGGGAAACACCAACCACTAAACTGCCTGCTCGGTGCACATTGGACATGGCACAACCGACAGCAATTGCAGTTGCATATTGCCCGTGTGCCCACACATGCTAATATAGCCGACCCCTTCAGTCGACATGACATGTCTCTCGCCTCGAAGCACCACTGGCAGATTCTGGAACCCCCCATGCACGCTCTACATAAACGGACGTGCAAAATCATTGGCGATATTGAGTTCGCCCATGCCGTCGGATTTGACGACATAAAGGAACTCCAACAGTTCCACAGGAATCATTCCTCCTGAACCCGACTTGACTTCCACGTCCCGTGAGAATCTTGTCCACAGTAAGGAGACTTGATCGATGTAAGGATGCCTTCAACGTGCCTTTTGTCTAGGTCGTTCGCCTTCGGCTTCACCTTCGACGGGAGTTGACCTACGACGGGAGAACGTCCACTCCCTCTTCGAAACTCTGCTGTACAACATTTTGGGTTTGCATGCACTTGCATTTGCTTACCTTTTATTTTGTTGTACTTTACTTTCGAGTCAGTGGTGTCTGAGAGACACGCACACCGACTCCAGAGATTGAAACAGATCGACCAACAGGTACGATCCCACCCACTTGAGGCAGTGCGGTGAAAATAAATCGACCGACGCTGGTTGCCGTCGTACTCTCTGGAGCGGTTTGTTGTTGCGGTTAACACTTGTGTTAAAAGTAACAACCGATAGCGGAAGGCATTTGAATCACACTCAGATTCGAACCTTGAGTGCCTGCAGGATGACACTGCTTGATTCATGCTCCGTTCGCCATTTTGGCGAATTAGCCAAATTTTTCTTTCCCACCCACCCTCACCAGTTTTCACTGCATGCCCTCAGTACCTGTCGGTCTGCATTTATAGCATCGAGTGAGAGGACGGGAGAACGTCCACTCCCTCTTCGAAACTCTGCTGTACAACATTTTGGGTTTGCATGCACTTGCATTTGCTTACCTTTTATTTTGTTGTACTTTACTTTCGAGTCAGTGGTGTCTGAGAGACACGCACACCGACTCCAGAGATTGAAACAGATCGACCAACAGGTACGATCCCACCCACTTGAGGCAGTGCGGTGAAAATAAATCGACCGACGCTGGTTGCCGTCGTACTCTCTGGAGCGGTTTGTTGTTTGGTTACGTGGTGTTAGCTGGTTTAGTTGTGTTTTAGTTTCCGAATTTCACCCACAGGCCAGTCAAACATTTTAGCAGCCCAAAGAAAAGAGAAGCTTCTTATCAGAACCTTCTTAAACCCAGCGGTTCCAAGGCGTTTCGCCACAGAACCGATCGACTCGGTAGGGTAAGTGGATGTAAGAGCCATGGCGAGATAACCCGCTTAGCCATGGCGAGATAAGTCTCCGTTCAGTGCGCTATAACCAGGCGTACGAACCACTTCCCTGACGCACCGAAGCGATCGCCGCTTGAAGTGCGGTAGGCAACCCTTCGATCAACTCTCCTCTAGGTTTTTAGCCAACTTGGTTGCCTGCCTTTACCAGGTAAAAGGAATCACTGGGAAGGGTTTTTGATGAATCGTTCTTGTGGATGGTCCCGAATGTCTCAACCTTAGTTCCACAGGTCCACATTGGGTCGGATAACCGATGGGGTGAGCGAAAGAACAGGGTCGTGCTACTTGTCAGGCGATCCTGCTGCCTATTTTATAGCGAGCTCACCTGGGGTATAACGAGCTCACCATGAGAAAGGTTCTTTACTGAGGGATCCCTCCTTTCTGGTTTTGAAATTATTGTAAAAATTGCAGATCTGTACATGCGATTCAAGTTTGCCAGGAAGGGATTTAAAAAGCTTCGGTGCTTGGGCATGTCCAAAACTGGTCTTGTCACGTACCCGGGCATGAGTTCCCAAAGCAGATTCCCCAAAACCATGCCTTCCATTTTCTTAAGAATATGTTTTCGAATTTACCCTGGTTGGTTTGAAAAGGAATTTATCACTACTGTGTTTTGTTTTTTCTTTTCTTTTTTAATATTATTATTATTTTGTTTCAGGGGTCTTCACCAAATGAAAGATGATGTTGGCAGGGTGAATGTTCATGTGTGTCGCCACGGTCCAAAAGCCATCGCAGAGGCAATCATCGCAATCACCTGATGCAACAAATAAGTTTCTTGCGTCTGCGTTGACGCACCAACATGAAAGCGGCTGGTAAAGGGTGGTAAACAAAGTTCTTTGTCGAAATTTGGCACTCCAGTATGGGGGTGGGTCAAAAATAAGTGCCCAATGGAACCCTGGTAAGTGGAGACATGGACTCAAACCTGTGGCCTGGTGGCTTAATCTTGACCCATGCCCATATATGGCTGTGGGTCAAAACCAATGGTACCATTTTTGGGGCAGGTGCACCACCCATTTTAGTCTAGTTTTGTGGGGATTGGGAAGTTCACTGGGGGTACGGGCGTTTGACCCATGGCCATATTTGACTTATCAGAAACACACAGAAGAAGTGCGATCAGCGGCAGCCTGCGATTCACAACATGCCAAGGACAAGCCAGACCGGTTTGCAACAAGATAGGATTCCTCGAGTATTTCTGCTCGCCATCTTCCATTTGCTTAAGAATAATTTTTTTACTTTCCCTTGTTGGTTTTAAAAGGAATCTGCTGGACATAGGTTTTATTTGTTCCAGGGGTCTTATCCAAATGGGAGCCATGCTTGCTGCAAGCGCAGGATCAATTCGGAACTGAACACATTACTTGGTGGTTCCCAGCCATCCGGTTCCTTAGCCTTGTGGATGTTTTTAGTGTTAAGTGGTAGTTTCCGAGTTTAACCCACTAAAAGTGAGTCAGTTTTAGAGGGGGATCAGAAAACGGGCAGCCAAGATGATTGGCAGCAGCTAATACCCGCTTTTTTCAGATTATCATGTCGACCCTCTACTAAAAAAGGTTTGGTATTTACCATGGAAACCCGATCGGTTTTCCAAAAAGTACCAACTAAAAAAAGCGGGTATTTTGAGTAGGGAGTATGTCCTTAGCCTTTTGGATGTTTAGTATTAGTGGTAGTATTCATTTAATTCACTAAAAGTGAGTCACTTTTAGCGGGGGATCAGAAAACGGGCAGCCCAGATAATTGACAGCAGCTGATTTTTGTTTCAAGCAGCTTCTTTCGGGCAGATCACAGAAGTGGAAGCTGCCTGCTCTCGCAAAGCCCAAAACTCTACCGCTATTGGGTTGGATCTTTAGACTTTAAGCTTTTTGGATTCCCTACATATTTCCTTTTAACCAGCAAAAAGTTAAAAACTTTTTGCTGGGGGATCTACAGCACCCAAGAAAGTCACAGGCAAGATTAGCGGGTATACAGGGGAACCAGGGATACAGGAGGATTCCCAAATGCACCTCGAAATGAAATTTGATGGATACCCTTGTTTGGGGTGCTTAAAATGAACACAAAAAGGAAACCCAGGAATGTTGGGTCCATTGGAGACATACGCAGTACAAACGTCAACCTGTAGCTACCGCCGACATCCACCAGACCTGTTTGATAGGCTCTAACAAGAGGTTCCGATATGTTTCGAGTGCTCGCACCAAAGGACAATGTATGTGTGTAGCGATCGAAACAAGAATGAAGCCACACGGGGTCACCCGACTTTTGTGAGTGCAAGTGAAGCGATAAGCACATTGTGCTAGATAGCTTGGTAGGACTAGTTAGTTTTTGGGAATACCAACCTTTGACATCCAGGTCAATCCGTCCACTCTGACGCCGGTCTTCAAACTGGATCTGGATATCGATGAGGCGGGCCGGCGGGTTTGGGGAGGGCGTTGCTCAGAAATCCCCTTCCCCTTTTCGATCGTCAAGCATGTTGGGTTCCTGTAAGGTGAATTTGGGATGATGTTTGAAGGGAACATTTTAGGAACCCTGTGTTGCTGGCATAGCCCCCTCGCCCTCTCCCCTCTTAGAGATGGAGGTGTTATTTGTTCGAGGGTGTATGCTGTGACTTCCATGGCCGAATTGGAATCAGCAAATGTCATCCTGAACATGGAACCTTGAGTATGGATTGTTGTTTTTTAGTTGTTGTTCATTGTAAGGTTTACTGACTATGAACCAGAACCCTTGTTTCTTTGATCGTTTCGTGCGGAGTGCGGGGCAGCATCTGAGATAGGAAGAGCTCTCGCCCGTCGATTGAACGGTGCCCGACCATCACGATTTGCCGATCAATCCAGAGAAACGCTTTGCCTCGAACTGAGGCACTATCTGAATAAGTATGGGTCTTCACACATTGCTGGGACAGCAGCGCGCCAAACCCAAAACCCAAACCCCAAAACCCCCAGAGCAGATATTTGGCAGGTAGCTCTAGTTGGTTGCAGAAGGATCCTTGCAAGGCCTATTGAATTCTTCGATTCTTCGTGGAATTTCAAGGGGGGGTCAGGAAAGCCATGGCGACACCTCAGTGGCCATTTCAATGGACCAAGCGCTGGTTGAAACAAGCACTGCTCAGAAAGGATTCCCCGTTTTTGTCCAAATGTGTTTAGACAACACACAGAACCACCCTGCCCCCTTTTGTAAGGGAAGCCAAAAGGAGGTGGTCGTTGTTTTTTTAAGGGTGACTCAAACAGGCTACACGAAGGGCCAGCCAAGCCTGTCTCAAAATTCCTTTTCCTTTTTGCCCGGCAAGCCCCGGAACGGCGGATCGAAGAACTCCCCATGCCCATGGCACATGAGAAGTGGGTCGGAGCCTTTTGGGTGTTTCCTAGGCGCGAGCTGATGGGTCGATGTTTAAACCCAGACGCTCGTGGACCCCAGGGAGGGTTCGACAAGTTTGGCAAACACCAGGGTTCTCAACAAGCTCCTTGTTTGAAGGCCCAGAAAACTGGTCGAAGAAAACAATCAGATGTAGTAGCTAGATGATTCCGCGCATTGGGATGCTGACATTTGGTTTTAAGTCCCTCACCCCATTCGAACTACTGTGGATGGACGAATTCCTGGACCACCCAAGAACCCCTGGTTTCTAATGATTCCTCTGTAAATACCGTCGCAACACGGTTTCAACCATGCTTTCAAAGTGGTGCGATTTCTGGATTTCGCAAGCATCCACCGTATTTCGGCCCTTGTATTGAATCAACCCAAGTTGAGCATTGCCCACCCCTTCCGCGCGCGCGCAGGCAGCGCTGTGCTTGACGGTGTGTTACTTCTCACAGCTGGCCAACCAGCCGGCGGCCAAGGGTGCGGAGTGCGGGGTGCGGTTCCTTCGGAATCTTCCATTTGCTGAAATGGCTGTGGGTCAAAACCAATGATTCCCAAAATGGGTGGGGTTTTCGGTGCACCACCCATTGTAGTCTATTTTAGTGGGGATTGGGATGTTCACTACAGTGCTGCGAAGTGAATTTCATCTGCAGTATTCTTAGTGGGTTGTAACCTTGTTCAGGGCATGCGGCCTGTATTTGCTTCAGCCCCCATAGATGGATATGGCTCAAATTAAACCACCAGGATATGGACCGCAAATTTTAATCCATGTTTCCACTTGCCAGGGCAAGCCATTTTGGGCACCGATTTTTGACCCACAGCCAAATGAATATTGTTTAATCCTCCCTTTTTGGCTTTAAAGGGAATCGATTTCACGACTGGAAGTATTGCTATGTGTTTCCAGGGGGCTTAAGCAAATGGAAGGTGTGTGTGTGTGTGTTTGTGTCTCTGTGTCTCTGTGTCTCTGTGTCTCTGTGTCTCTGTGTCTCTGTGTCTCTGTGTCTCTGTGTCTCTGTGTCTTTGTGTGTCCGTGTCTCTGTCTCTCTGTCTCTATGTCTCTCTGTCTGTGTCTGTGTGTGTGTGTCTCTGCGTCTCTGTGCCTCTGTGTCTCTGTCTCCGTGTTTGTGTTTGTGTGTTTGTGTGTGTGTGTGTTAAGAGTACTTTTTTCAGTTCGGCTCAAAGGGAACACCAAAAGGAACTCTGCCATCTGGGGCGGGGTTCGGTTTTCCTTCGAACATCCCTTTTTCGGCCCCTCCAGTGCGCCCGCTTCTTTTGACTGGAGTTGCAACAAATCCAGCTTGGTTGGGTTGGCTAATTTGTTGGTCGCGGGTACAAAGGTTTGGATGGGGATTGTTTGGAGGGTTTACTTAGGGTCACTTGGGGGTTAATATGAAGTGGGGGTTGACTGGGGGTTCAAAGCTGTGGGCAACTTGTTGTTTCCTGTTGTACCTAGCCAATCAAGGGGTTCCGCGTTTGAGAAAACCACTACACGCGTTGCATCCATTAAATCATGACTCGAAAGAACCACCCAATCCCAGAAAGCGATTAAGGAGTCATAGGCATAGCCCACTTCAGATCTGGTGGTGCAGATCTCGTTCCATGGTTTAATGCTATGGGGCCAGGATTATGCCCGCTGTTGACCCACTACCCACTAGAAAAGCAACTGTTCGTTATGGGACCACTACATATGACTATGATTGTTCATAAGGGACCCTTGGGACATCATTTAGATGCGGATTCATGTCCACCAATCACTTTTGAGGTGCTTTCCTATCAAAATTCATGGCCATATAGCTTGACTGCTATTGGGTTGGATCTTTAGACTTTAAGTTTTTGGGAAATCAAGGGGTTTTCCACTAAACCCACAAAAAGTGGTCCACTTTTTGCAGAGGGATCAGCAGCAACCAAGATGGCCACTGGCTATTTGGCCTCTATTTAGCCAGTGGCGATTTGGCCACTGGCCACGCGGGGTCGATCATAGGGCCCTGCTTGAAAGCAACCAGAAGGACACTGGCTCAGTTGCGACCAGCGGATTTAAACCATGTCATTTACCCCTCTTCGGTGGCTGCCCCACTAAAAATGGTCTTCCCCAAAAAGGGTTCCCTTTTTTCCCAGGGTCACTGAACAACTGAGCCCTTGGTTGGTGGCTTGGATTGGTGGTTTGGGGATTTGAATTTCTGGATGTTGAGAAGGGTAAGTGGGAAACCACTACACTCCCATGAGCTAAAATGTGCACAGCTGGAAGGCGACATTCTTCTTGGAAAGGGAGGGGTCTTGCGCAATATGAACATGTCTTGAACCCACTTTTGGTTGGCTTTAGAGGAAAGCACAAGGAAGCCACACTATTCTTAGACCCCAGACTCGTTTGTGAGAGGTTACGGACCCGACCAAACCCTCATTCCAATTGCGCCCGAGGCCCTGTCTGGTGGTGGGCACTGTCTACAACATGACGCCGGGACCTTCGTTGTCGTTTCTGCCCGCGAAAAAGAGCCGCCGCTTGGGTTTTCGGCCAAGTTAGTAACCGGTTGGTAACCTAAGTTCTAACCTGCTTATAAGCAGGTGAAGTGGAATATTAGCGGGTTGTAACACAGGTGCCTAGCTACTTACTTGGCCGAACATCCAAGCACCTTGTTTGAAGACACCTGTTTGGCCGATGTTGGGCCAACGTGGATTGACATGCCCTTTGGCGAGGAGGTTGTGTTGTTTGAAGCGGGTTCGGGCTGCGGAATGAACCCCAGGAATCCGTAAGGGATTGATCTGTATGATGCTCTAGCCCCATATATTGCCCTTGAGGAACATAGGGTAGGGCCAGCCAAATGTGTCAAAAGCTGACATATGGCTGTGGGTCAAAGATAGGTACCCAAAATGGAACCCTGGCAAATGGACACATGGACTAAAACCTGAGGTTTTTCTGGGGGGGGGGGGGGGGGAATTTTTACCCATATTCCACTGCTCCTGAACAAAAACACCAACAGGAGATTCCGAGGTTCCTAACGGTGGGTGGCTCCTCCGGGCAAAAGGTCGTAGCACCGGAGGCACCACTGCGGACCCGAATGTTATGCCCGTCTCCTACGCGTCCTATCACATATGGCAATTCCGGGATTGGCACACGCGTGGTTATCAACGGCTTGGTGTCCCACGTACATACATTGGATCGACAGATTTCGTGTCTGATGGAGTTTCGTCCTCTTCGGCGTCTTCAGTTCCAGATGGCGCGTGGCGTGAACCTTCTCCCCCACCGAGCACGCAGACTGTGGCCCATGTCGATGCCGTGCAACTTCAACTCTGCCAATGACCATTCATGCAAGCATCACCGTTTAGTCCAACGTACCAATTTTGTACATGAATCTGTCCTTTGGGGATTTTTCCGATGGTTCCCAGCCATCCGGTTCCTTAGGAAAGGAGCTGGTTTTTTTCGTTGGTTGAGTGGTAGTTTCCGAATTTCACCCGCAAGTTTGCGACTTTTAGCAGATCAGAAAACGGGCCGCGCCCGGACGCCCATTGGTCGCCACCCAAATCTCTCATGCAGGGCTGCTTCAGGTAATGTTGAACCCGGATTAATACACCCCTGTTTAGAAAATATGGGGGTGTTCCCCTCCAAAAGTGGTCTGAATCCCCACTAAAACCCGGGAAGAGCACCCCCATATTATGGGAAGAGCACCCCCAATAAGCAGGTTTTCCCCTCAAAAAGCCCCACTAAAACCAGGGAAAAACACCCCCATATTCATCCGGGGTCCACATTACTGCTTTCCTTGCGGCTTGTTCTTGGCACCGATGGGATCGATCCCGTGTGACCGGGGGGAAAATGAGCTTTGGTGCGATCTGGGCGAAAATGTCTGATGGTGCGGAATGGTTGATGGTACTGTGGATGGTTGCGAAATCCAGAAATCGCACCAAATTCAACACGTTGTTGAAACTTGTATTTGTTGGTATTTACGTTGAATTCATCATTATGGGGTTTCTTCGGTGGTGCGAAATGGTTTTTGCAACCATCCACAGTAATGATTTCTCCTTTGGTGTGTAAGCATCTTCCCAAATTCAAGTGAGTTCCTGCCAGTGGCACCATGTGCATGGGACAAATGGAAATGGTAAGTCCTACTGTGGATGGTTGCGAAATCCGCGAGTCTCGCACCACGGTTAAAGATTCCACGGGTAAAACCACGAGGTTTGCTGGGGTTTGTTGGTACGTTTGGGAATCAAACCATTCCAGGGCTTCTGCACAGTGCGAAATGGATTTCGTCCATCAGTAGGTTGATTTTGACAAGGGGTCTAAGTGGAACCCCTGGTTGATGTCGTGTTGCCCTCCTCTCTTAGTGAGATCCATGTTTCGCTTTTGTGTTGTGACTCTCGCTTCTAAGTAGGGCAGGGACATTAATCCGGGCCTGCAATCAATCCATAAACCCCTGCACTTGAGGCAACCACAAGAGGATGATTGGGGATAGTTCTTCATAATGTTGTTCCAGCAGACCCTTGGACAAATACTTTCCCGGACTTTTCTCCCAGACCGTTTACTTCTTCCAAATATTTAATGTGTTTGTTCGTCTTGAACACACCCAAAACCCTATCTATTGGCCATTTTAGTAGGTTGTTCTACCCGATTTCATAAGGATTAGACTAATCCTTGAAAAGATGGGTGTGTCTCAAAATGAAGTATCCCTGGTGGTTGCTGTCCTCTTGTTGTTCCTTTACGCCATCCAAAGGTTCCTGTCACGCACATCTTGAGAACCATGTTTCCAGGGGTTGATTCCGCATTCTGTGCAACCGTTCTTCTTTTCAAAACCCCAGTCCTTTTTCATTTCCTAGAAAGAAGGATTCCTCGAAAGGATGGGGAAGCTACCAAACGTCCGCTCGCGCCCGCGACCGATTTGCCGATTTGGCCGTGGGTCAAAAATAGGTACCCGCTTTGGGAACCCTGGTAAGTGGAACCAAAGACTAAAACCTGCGGTCCATATCCTGGTGGTTTAACTTTGACCCATACCCATTTCTCTTCCCTGGACGCGGACTTTGCGCGCTTCGCGCGGGGTGTTCGCGAGAACGCTGGCCAGGCTCTACCCGCGGCACGCGCCCAAGGCCACCATTAAGACCTACATGTACGATGAGCCCGGCAGCCCGGAGGTACGGCCAGGTGGCTGTGGGTCAAAAATTGGTACCCAACCTGGAACCCTCGCAAATGGAACCAAGGACTCAAACCGGTCCATATCCTGGTGGCTTAATTTTGACCCATACCCATGTGCTAAAACGGTTTTTATTTCTATTTTCCCTGGTTAGTTTAAAAGGGTATCGATTTCACGACTGGACTGCTAACAAGATTTTGTGTTTGTTTTCCCTTGTTGGTTTGAAAGGGGCATGGATTTCACTGCTAGACCATTTTTCACCATTTTTGCCCAGGGGACGAAAACGCAAATGGAAGGGTAGTTGTGGGAATGAGTCCTGAAGTTTCGGACAGACCAAAGATGTTCTTTGCCCTTTGATGAACAAAGAGAAGAAGACTTCCTGGGGCCTTGAACGACTGTTTCAAAGCAGGTGCGGGCCAAAAAAACACTTCTGAGGCAAACGACCGGAACCCTTTAAACAAAGAGAAGAAGACTTGGAATGAACCCTTTAAACAAGTTTCTTGTGGTTTCCTCTAGAATCCCCTTCCGGTTCATCGGGAAGGTCATTCCCTCTCGCGGCAAGTAAATCCCTGGTTTCGGGTTGAACGTTGACCGAGGCGGAGGGAACCGTCATGTCGTTGAAGGCCTGCCATTGATAGCACAGCCCTATTCAGGCAAGCCACCATTAACACAATGGTTGGGTTCAAATAAACCACCTTTTGTTTAAGATATTGTCATCATCTAGATTGGTTCCTTGCTATTTTTTTAGTGGGGCTGACCCCTAGGGCTGGGTTACAAGCCTCTTTGTTCCGGCATCTCAAGTGGATTTAGCTAACCTTGTTCTTCTTCGTGGGATAGAACACAGGCAGCCCTTTACTGGCAACGAACATCCTGCCTATTTTATAGCGCGCTCACCGATTCGAGGGTAGAACGAGATGATCAGGATCCTTTACCTGGGGAGCCGATTCTGAATTCAGCTTAACTTTTTGGTTGAAACAAAGGTGTTTTCTACTAACCCCCCCAAAAGTGGTCCACTTTTTGCAGGGGGGTCCTTGCAGCGACCAAGGCTTGCAGAATCTAAGGCAACATCTTGGCCGCAGTGGCCACATGTTTTCGAAACGGGGCAACGCCGAAGACCAAGACTTTGATCTTGGGGAAGGTTTAAAAGGTGCTACTTGAAAGAGGCGATGGATTCGGTACGTCAGGGTGGTTGTAAAAACTCCATAGTGAGATAAACCACACAACTTATGATTATTTTTGTCTCCATTCAGTGGATTATATCCAAACCACACTACAGACATTGTTCTGTCCCGGTCCATGTTGGAGTGTCGTCTTTGGGGACCTTCCCCAAAAACGCGAAAGAAAGTGGTTTTCCATGTTGGTTTCCCTTGAAAGCCTTCCCAAAACGGGCTTTCCCTCGAAAAACGACACCCGAATGTTGAGCTGAAGCTAGCTTTGGCGATCGTGGTCAAAGCCGCTTTTTTTTTCCCCGCGTTGCCAAGCTCCAGCTGATGCAGAGGCTACCTTCGGATCCGAAGTCATGGCTTCCAACTTCCGGAGAGCTTGGAACGCCCCCCAACTTCCGTCAACTGGGGTTGATTCATACGGGGGCAGCATGACCCCCAGTGAATATTTTAATCCCCACCAAAACAGGTTCTAAAATGGGTGCACCGAAACCCCAAAATGGGATCTCGAGCCGCGAGCCACGCGCGGCTTGCTGGCTCAGCCTGCCTGGAGATCTGATTTCACGAAGCGCTGCCAAGACATCGGCGTGGAATGGCTGTGAATTTTAGTAGGGAACCCCCTCCAAAGTGATTGTTTGACATGGATCCCCACCTAAATGATGTCCACCAAAGGGTTCCTAATTCAAATTCAGACCCAAATAATAATAAGATAGGACCCCAGTTCTATTTCGTTGGTTTCCAGGGATAGGGGACAGAGTTGATTTGCTGGCCGACAATCGGCGTGAGAGGTTTGAGCTTTTGTTTTCTGCAACTGTTGTCTTCGGGGTCAGGCATCGGGCAATGTCAACGTGGCTGTGTATTTTAAGAGTTGGAACCACCTGAGAAGTGGTTCGTGGACATGAATCTCCTGGGGTTCAACCCCCATTGCCCAATTTGGAAGATGAAAATCCTTGGGTAAAAGTAGTGGTCATATGAAACCCCATTGTTTTAATAGTGGTTTGCACCCAAGGGAATCCCCATCTAAATGATGTCCACCTTCTCTTGAAAAAGACAGGCTGAAAAAAAACTCGAAGCAGTACATCCAGTTTGTCCATTGTGTTTTCATAGGTGTCCTAAAAATGGAAAGGGTTGCTGGAAGTGGAAAGGACAACAACCCTGCGGTTTGGTGGTTTAATTTTGCATTTTGAGTTCCACTGGTTGAGATTTGTTTTATGCCCCATTTACCTGGGAAAACCATCGATTTTTCCAAAAGGTCACCCACCGTGGATGACGAAATCCTGCACCACATGGAAACCATGGAAAACCATTGTTCGTTGGTACTTACAAGGGAATCATCATTCCAGGATTTCTTAGTTGGTGCGAAAATGGATTTCGTCCATCCACAGTTGTTTTGTTTCGTGCAGAGTCGTGCACTGAGAGCGTCTGCACTGAGAGGGTCCCTTTCACCCAGTCGAAAGCCGCTTGACTTGAAATCGGTGAGGCGGTACCACCTGCAGTTGATCCATTCTACGCCTTTGGACGTGGCTTGGCGGAATCGAGTGTTGTGCATTTTCTGTCTTGACTTCAACTCCTTTTCTTTATTCGCAAGGCGAATCCACCTGTTAGCGTTTGGCTTCCCCGAGTCAAGGTTCCAAACGATGGACCTATATATTGTGTTTTGTTTTTTTTGTTGGCTCCTCTGGGCGACTGAGCTTGTGGTTGCATTTGTGAAAATCTTCGTAGTGAGATCTGAGGGGATCATCACCATGTGTCAATGCGTCAACTGCCTGCAGTTGCCCTGGACCCTGTTACTTCGCTGTTCTTGGCATGTTTGTTGGCTTTTTAGTTTTTTCGGTTCTGTTCATTTTTACTGGGGGTCTGCAAAAAACAGTCAGTTTTTTGCCAGCCCATACCAAGAGTAGAGATGTTCACCACTGCTTTCAGCTGGCAGATTTTCGGTTCAATCCACGTAGCCGACACGGTTCATGATGAGAAGCCATGACACGGGAGGCCACTATTGTTTTTGTTCGCAGATGCCATAGGAGCATGGAAGATCGAAGCCCGGAACTGTGAACAAATCAGGTCCCAGTTGCCCGGTGCCCCTTTTTTCCTTTCTTTTTGGGAAGGATGTCCCTTTGAAGCCGTTAAAGCCAACCAACCAAAAAAGGATGCCGATTCTTTTTTTGCGACATGGACATCCACTGGGCATGTGAGAGGCGGGGTTCCATCAGGGTGGAACCTGTCCAAACGCCGATGGCGTTGACGGATTGGGAGACTTGGGTCTGCCTTCTAAGTCTGACTGGTCGTCGTTACCTCAAGGACTAGCGGCCAACAAATGACATGGACACCAACCTTGGTGGTTCCAGCCATCCGGTTCCTTAGCCTTTTAGATCTTTTTAGCGTTTAGTGGTCGTTTGCGAATCTAACCCACCAAAGGTTAGTCCCTTTTAGCGGGAGATCAGAACACGGGCAGCCCGGCATGGTGTTTGCAGCCATGAAAAGGGCTCCTTGTGCTTCTCAAGTTAGCTTCTCGAGTCTGAATTTCATACGCGGTTCTCCTCTAGCCACGGGACAAGGAGCCTGCGGTTTGGATTCGCGACATCTTGGACGGTAAGGGGTGTCGCCCTTTTAAACCATTCCCCGGACTGCCAGAGAGGGCACATTGTCACATGAGTTAAATAAGGATGATGATGATGGTGGTGGTGGTGATGATGGTGGTGGTGGTGATGGTGGTGGTGATGATGATAATGGTGGTGGTGGTGTTGATGGTGATGGTGGAAGAAACCGTGTTATTAGGAGTTTTAATACAGGTGGCAAACCACTTTCTAACTTGGCCAAACACGCAAGTAGCAAACAACACGTTGTATGTTTGCAGACACAAATAATTCACAATGAATGGAACCAAATACAAAGCTACCAGCACCCCCCCCCCCCCCCCCAATGGATTTCGGTCAAATGGCTCCGTGGCCATTTGACAAGGCCGCTTAACAAACAGTTTGTCAGCCTTGGTGGGGGGGGGGGGGTTCTCGAAAGTATCTGCTCCTTCCCACTATGAACAGAACCAAGAAACTAAAAATGATGGTGGTGATGATGGTGATGGTGATGGTGATGGTGGTGATGGTGTTGGTGGTGATGGTGATGGTGGTGGTGGTGATGGTGATGATGATGATGGCGATGATGGTGGTGGTGGTGATGGTGGTGGTGGTGATGGTGATTGTGATGGTGATGGTGATGGTGATGGTGATGGTGATGGTGATGGTGATGATGATGATGATGATGATGATGATGATGATGATGATGATGATGATGATGACGAGACACTCCCTGTAAAAACAAGCATGACAAAGTTTTCTATATACCAAAAGCGGCCCTTGCTTTGCTGGTTTAAGTTGGTTTGTCAGGGCTGGGGACAATGTCCGAATGGAGCCAACATGACAGGAACATTGTGAGGCTCGGTACAATTTAAAGGAGGGTTTCCAACCATGTTTTGGAAAAGGAATCTGAAACATAGCTGGGTCCCCCTTTTTTGGAGTTGCACACTGAGAAAGTCAAAAATAATACCGAGCTTAGCCTGTTTTGGGACCAACCAGGGGCATCAAATGGCAACTGCCCCAAGTCAGGCTGAACATCCGAGCATCTTGCAGACCAACTTATGCTTCGCAGCGCTTGTTTCAGGCTCCAGATCTATAAAAAAGCACAAGAAACACGCACATAAGACACACCGTGTTTCTCGTTTTTTGAGGGCTCCGATTTTTGGTTTTCAGCGACACACACGAATCGACGAGCTTTCACGAATCGACGCACTGGGCTCCAAGGACGTGCCCTTGTGTCTCTTCCCCTTTGAGGGCGCGGGAGCTCAGGGTTGAACCTGGGCCCCGGTTAGCGCCCCGCGCTTTTTGGGGGACAAAACGCCGGGACGTCCAGGTGAGCCACGTGCTCAAAACCGATTCGGGTAGATGAAGGGAAGGGGCAGTCCCAGCCAGAAATAGTTGCGGCCGCCTTCTGAATTCTTGAAGCATGCTTCTGGGTAGAAAATGTTAATACCGGGTTTTGATTGTGACTCAGGTGAGAAGGGGTCCGTGTTCATGCTCCCTCGTGCTGGGTGCAGTAAAGTTGGTGTGGGTGGAAAGCTTCCCTCGTAAAAGGGGTGTCCAGGTGTTGTGATATCATTTGAGGGGTTCGATCATGTTTTGTGGCTAGGCTCTTTGCCATGAAATGAGAAGCTGCCATTTAGAACTTAGAGGGTAATTTTGAGGATGCGCTACAGATTTGTTCCATACATTAAGGCTCCTGCAAGTCTTCTTGTTTAAGGCCACGGAAGATGATGGAGCAACAAATCGGGGGGGGGGGGGGTAAAACGGGTGACGCCTCAACCGTAACTAACTTTCCCCAGCCTCTTGCTCCTGGAGCGAAGGTCTTGCCAGCTCCAAGCTGTTGATCCAGCCAAGCCATTGATGCGAGTGAAAACATGAAGACTCGATCTTGGAACATTGGAGTTTCGGTTTCTTTTGCTTAGTTTCTTCAGTGTTTGCTTTCCTTCCCCGTTTTTTGTTTGTTTTTTCCCTTTGGAGGGCGTAAACCCCTTTTAAGAACAAAAAGGCTCCAGATCGGTCTTCCGAGCAACGACCGAATTGGAAGGCCCTTTCAGCTGTGAAAAGTAAGTTCCCGTCCAGGAATCCAACATATGATCCAAAGGGGCGTTCTTCGTTTTCAGACTCGTCCCCATACGGTTGGTTGAATGTAGACGGAACGTCCCCCATCTTGGTGTTGTCATCCCCTTTGCCCAAGAATTGCGCCATCTACTTTCCCCCCTGGTCCGCATCTGCCTTGATACTTACTATTTATGCTCATGTTGGGCTCAGATGCGAATTTGGGTGTGTCTCAGAGCCTTTGTAGGTTACTTCTCCAAGTTCTTTAGAGAGCCAACCAGACTCCGCCACACTCAACGAGTGCAATTGTGCCCTTGTTTGCTTTCTTTACTTCATGGGGGCGATCAGGTACTTAGTAAATGGCCTAGGTCCCCCAGTAGTGCCCTTTTACTCTTTTTGGGGGAGGGTTCCCCTACTAAAAAAGACTACAGAGAAAAGGGTACCCTTATTCTAACCTCTGTACTGGAGGACCTAGTGGTAGTAAGCCTAGCCCACTGAACGGAGACTTACAACACGACGGGAGTAACACGAGCTGAAGCGATGGTTCTTTACGGCCGATCCAATTCTGATGTCAGGTTCGAAGGTTCAGGATGTCCGATTCGCCAAGTTAGTAAGTGGTTGGCCTGCGTTTTTAACTCACCAATAGCAAGGTACTAACAGCAAGGCTAACTCCATTCAGGGGGACTTGTAAAGCAGGTCATCTCTCAGGTTATTGGCAACTTCTTAACTTGGTCGAATGCCCAAGTACTGGGGGATCCATGCAGGCTTTCCTGCCTGCGGGATCTACCTTTATTGGTCCTTTGTGCTCAGAGACCCGGATGCATTCGTTTGTTTGGGACTTCTTCACAACCATTGGGAACGCATGGCCACAGGTCCCAGCACCCCCCAAGCACGGCTTTTCCCGTGTCCAATTCCCAAGTATCCCAAAAGCAGTGCTTGGTGGCTCCCAGCCATCCGGTTCCTTTGCCTTTCAGCTTTTTAGTGTTTAGAGGCAGTCTCCGAATTTCACCCACTGAAAAGTTTTCCGCTTTTAGCGGGGGATCTGAAAACGGGCAGCCAAAAGCCGTGGTTGGGCGGCTGGTCCGGTTTCCGGTTTCCGGGTCGGGTCATCCGCAGGCCGCTTGCTGGCGAGCGTGGGCAAGAACCTGCGCATCTACGAGCTGGGCAAGCGCAAGCTGCGCTGGGCCCAGCCAAAAAACAGCTCAGCCGATATCCCCAAAAGCATGCGGTGCTCTTTTTAGTGCTCGCACCACCCTCCCAGAGCCCTCGCAAAACCTGGTGGAACCCTGGTGGATCCCTCGTGGAACCTATAAGCTCAGTTGTTCAGTGGCACCGATTCTTTTTCCTTTTTTTGGGTGGCTGCCCCACTAAAAACGGTCTTCCCAAAAAAGGGTTCCCTTTTTTGCCATGCAGGGTCACTGAACATCTGAGAAAAAGCAACGCAGAACGCGGCCGACTCGTCACCGAGTTTGGTTGGGCAAGCCCGCATCCTTGGGCCCATTGGCGGGGTTCTGGATTTTTCTTAGGGTTTGGACCTCAAAAGGGCTTAAGGTCCCAATATGTTTGTTCAAGATATGTTGTTCAAAGGTGCGACAAGACATGTTGGACAGTCGGGTGGAACCACGTGTCCACTGAAGCCAGTTGCAAAACACCGGGTCGGCGAATTCGGGAAGTCCATATTATTGTTTTTCCTGTTTGTTCAGTTGTTTGTGTGTCTTTTTGGGCGAACCCCCCCCCCTCCGCATTGAGTGCTTTCTCTTTTGGACATCCGGCAGGGACACTCCCATTTTGCGACCGCTAGGTTGCGCAAGTGCGAGTACAAGAACATCCCGGAGGGCCTGATGTGGATGTAGGGCGCCCTGTGAGTACATACCTTGGTGGTTCCCAGCCATTCGGTTCCTTAGAGTTTTAGTTGTTTTTAGTTAGTTTCGTGGTCGTCACTCAGCTGAGCCACATGCAAGCTCTTGGTCGATGGGTAGCAAGGGACAGTTCCAACCTCAAGATTTTCTAGGTCCCTCAGTAGTGCCCTTTTACCAACTTTTTTGGGGGAGGGTTACAGAAACAAAATCGGGTACCAACTTCTTCTAACCAACCTCTAATCTGAAGGACCTAGTTTATGCTCACGGCGACGTTAGACACGCGGGAGGATCCTTCGTTTTTTCATGTTCATGACTTCTTCACAAACAAGCTGACGTAGCTCGCTTGACTTCGATTCATATTTACCGCCAGTGGCAGGTCGCGTTTACCGCCACCCGCGCAAGCGCGCTCGTAGCACGCTTGACTACGATTCATATTTACTGCCAGTGGCAGGTCGCGTTTACCAACACCCGCGCAAGAGCGCTCGCAGCGCGCTTGACTACGATTTATAGTTTCCACCCGTGGCAGGTCGCGTTGAGTGTCGCCTTCGCAAAAGTGCTTGTAGCACGCTTGACTTCGAGTCAAATTTTCCGCCAGTGGCAGGTCGCGTTTACCGCCAACAGCTGCGCCGTAAACCGTAAACCTTAAGACCCAAACCCTGAACACAAAACCAGCCAAATGATAAGCACACCCGCTCAAGTGCACCCGCACAGCACTGCACACACGCCAGCCAAATGATAAGCACACCCGCTCAAGTGCACCCGCACAGCACTGCACACACGCCAGCCAAATGATAAGCACACCCGCTCAAGTGCACCCGCACAGCACTGCACACACGCCAGCCAAATGATAAGCACACCCGCTCAAGTGCACCCGCACAGCACTGCACACACGCCAGCTTAATGATCACACGCCAGCAGTGCACCCGCACTAAGAGTGCTAAGTCTGGCCTGCTGAATCCGCAGGTGTGGCAGTGGGCGTGCAGCTTCCAATTCAGATACAATGCTGGACCGGACCTGTGGCCTAAGGTTCCAGAGATCCTCAAAGCAGCAAACCGTATGAAAATTGCAACGGCGGCCCGCGTGGTTAACGTCGCCGTGACCTAGTTTATGAAGACAGAAGCCCTCTATCCATGATCCCTGGGATTCACCCACCCTTAGCACAATGGTTGGGTTCACAGGACCATCATTGATTGTCATCATCCGAGATTGAAAGGCCATTCTTTCAATGGGAATCGGTTGAACCCTAAATTGATGTCACCTCGGTCCAAACGGGTAGCACCATGAAAGTATTTTCCTCCTCGAACTTGCTATGCATGAGAAGGGTCGCTTCCATTTGCTTAAGAATATGTTGTTTAATGGTGGCGCACGGGAAAGGACCGGAAAGAGGACTGGCCAGGTCCGCATTTATTGGAGGGAGCCCCAGAACACCCTCAAAATCTGGTTTATCGAACATTCCCCGAAAAACCCTGGTCAACCTTGAGGAGAGGTTACTAATCAAGTTCCACAATTATTTCTCTCGGTTTTAAACGGAACCTATCACTGGACAGATGTTGTTATGTTTTTCAGGGGTCGCGTTTTGCCGTGCGGCCGAGGATTCAAGTCGAAAAGCAAACCAGCGTAGTGCTCTGCGAATGGACACGTGAACTCGAGGCAAACGTGTAGCAAGCTGATGTTTTCAGGTAACCCTTAGTTGGTTTGGATTGCTGGTTTGAGATTTGAACCCCTGAAAATTTGTAGAGGGAAACCCCTCCTGAACCGCCAAACCACCAATCCAAACCGCCAACTAGAGGGAAGCTGATGTATCGTTTTTGTTGAGGCTTCGCCCCCTTGTACAGTTACAGCTTCCCTGTCCAAATCCCAAAGACGAGGCGCTGAGCTTGCCATATCGTCGCATTGCCGGACTTGGCTTTCCGTTTTTTGGTCTGGGTGTCCGAAATACTGCGGATGGGCGAAATCCATTTCGCACCCCAAAGAAAGCCTGAAATGATGATTCCTTTGTAAATACCAACACACCATGGTTTCCCATGGTTTCAAAGTGGTGCAGGATTTCGTCCATCTACAGTATGTTCCCTTTGAACCAGCCAACATTTAACCGGTTGTTTCGCAAAAAGTAAAACCCCTCCAAGTGGTTGGTTTCCTGCTGTTAGTCAAAACCATCCAAGGGGTGGTCCGTATTTTTTGAGACACCCAACTGAAAACCATCCATGGGGAGTTTCCCTAGAGAGACGTGACGCAACCATATTTGGGTGCGGAGACCCGCTCCGAAGCGGAGAATTCAACCTTCCCATGCCTGTATGGCAAGAACAGTGCGATGCGATCCTGGGCAGTTCCCTGGTTGCAAGTCCGCACATCCCCGAATTGGCCTCGCTTCATCGGCCATTCGCCGGTCAATGCCCAGTTGTTTGTGGTTGATTTGCCGGGCTTACAACTTGAACCCAACATGTCAAAGTCGTTTGCGAATGATGATCCCTTTGCAAGTAATTACCAAAAAGCCATGCATGGTTTCCCATGATGTCAAAGCGGTGCGAAATGGAATCCCTCCATTCGCAGTATTAGGTTGCAACCGGGTAGCACAAAGCCAAAAACGGTGAAGTACTTCAAGGGGCTGACTGTGGTGTCCTTTGAGGGTCAGCTTGGCTTAAGATTCATGCATTCTGCTGGTGTCCGTTGCTTTGGTTCTGCTGCAGTGCCATTTTGTCCGAACGAAAACCTCAGGTCAAATAGGGTGTTGACCAAGCTTTGGATGGAGGAATTCCATTTTGAAACCACTTTTCCATGGAAAGCCATCAGTGACACCATTTACAGGGGAATGATTCAAAGTTTTCTTAGGTGCGAAATGGATTTCATCCACATGACTCGGGACTCGGGACTCGGGTCCCAGGGTTTCAGCAGGCGCAAGTGAAAAATTTTGCCCTCCTTCCCCGATTCGGTAGATGACTAACCTGACCCACCTTATTCAGAATCTGTCATTTGTCGTTTCACGAAAGGAGGTGACACCCCCAAGTCTGCTTGACTTGACCTTCCACACATGAGAAGAAGGTCCTTGACTCGCCCTGAGTAGCTCACATGCATCTCATCATAGGTTTGATTTGGGAAGACCTGAGATGGAAGAAGCCTCCAGTATTCAGCCCACAACCGGGGGATCAAGCCCAAATTTACGTGGTCGATTTTGATGACAACATTTGTCATGTCCTCTGTGGCTATATATATATATAAATGTACATGTCGCTTGAGGTGGTTTCAAGCGAAAACAGGAGCAACGCTGCCATTTTCAGAAATCCACTGCCACCTTCACCCAACGGACCCCTCTTATTGGGCTCGCGCGTGGTGCACAGCATGCGGCCGGTTTGAGGCACGTGAAGGGTGACAAGATCTTTGCGGCGGACCTTAGGGAGTCCTTCCACATCTTCAAGTGCGCCGTTGTGCCTGGCGTTTGGTCGTGGATGGCACCCCTTCTTCCTGGTTTTTGGTTTTGTCGGGGGTTCCCTTCCAAGCAAGGGCTGCCCACAAAAAGGCGCCCGGATTTTTTTCCATGCCGCGGGGGGTCTGGCTGTTTCTACGGGGTTGTCAAAGTCAGAAGCTGGTGTCCAGTTCAGCTACCACTTAGGGGGTGATTGTGAACATGGTAGAATAATGGGGGGAGTCTTAGAACTCCCTAATTGGATCTTCGGCCAAGTTAGTAAGTAGTTGGTAACCTAAGTTATAACCAGCTTAATTGTTCGTCTCCCAAATAGTCTTAACCTTGTCGCGGGTTAAGCCCAGCCACTTACTGGCCGAACATCCAAGGGTCCCCTCCATGTCCCTTTAAAGGGAACCTGCGAAAGTGACGATCCTTTCAATGGACACCACCAGCAAATTGATCAACTTAAGGGGAGATCCAGGTGCGAACATCCAAGGACTACATAGAGTCTCCATGACCCTTGAAAAATGGTTGGTCATTACCCAAAGCTTTGGTTGGTTGACCCATTTTCATTTCGGGTCAGATCCGGAGACTCCAGGTGCATAGGTAAATAGAATCACTGGATTTCGGCCCACTCGTGGGCGTACGCCGGTCAGCCCAGCGGGTTCCTCGAGTCTGTACGGGCGGAGGCGCCGGGTGTTTCCGTCACTCGCTGAGGTTTCAGACTCGAAGTATCTGGCGGTCGGTGTCAAAACCGTGTTGGGATCCCATTTTGGGGTCGACCCTCCCCATTTTAGAGCCTGTTTTAGTGGAAATTAACATATTCACTGGGGTTGCGGGATTTTGACCCATGGACACATGGCTGTTTGTTAGCGGATCTTCGGACTTTAACCTTTTGGTTGAAGCAGTGGGATTCCCCAGACAGGCCCACACCAAGTTGAACTTCTTGCGGGAGGGTCAACAGCAACCAAGCAAAATACTTCTTGTGTCTGGACCATTTTTGTGGCAGCCAAGAAGTGCGGTGTTGTTTTGGCCAATCCGCTCGATGGGACTGCTGGGGAGGTGGGCGGTGGGGCTAGAAAAAGAAGTAGCATTGAGGGTTGCCAATTGCATGGGCCCTCCTATTATATCTTCACTGTGTTTGGCATGTTTTTTAGTTTTTTAGTTTTTTGGTTCTGTTCATTTTACTGGGGGTCTGCAAAAAACAGAGTTTTTTGCTACCATACCAAGAGTAGAGATGAGATATTTATCAAAAAGGTGTGAAGCCGGGTTTGTTATGTAGCTGTGGGAAACCTTCCAATCGAAAGCTTCATGTTCACGAAGCTCCGCGCGCTTGCGCTTCCGCTTGCGCTTGTCGCGCGAGGTACCGGCGCTCGGACAACCAGCTCTTCGTGCTGGCGGATGATCAGGCACCCAGATGGACGCCGGAGCCCCAGCCATGCGGTTCCTTAGCTTTTTGGATCTTTTTAGCGCTTAGTGGTAGTTTCAACGAATTTCACCCACTCAAAGTTCGTCACTTTTAGCGGTGGATCGGAAATCGGGCCCAGGTTTGGATGTCTGGGAAACGGTTTGGGTTTGCGGTTTTGTGGATCCACGCCCATAACCCCACTAAAAGTTGGTCACTTTTAGCGAGGGATCGGAAATCGGGCAGCCCAGAGTTGAAAAGCCGAGTCTCCGGTATCTCCGAAGTTCCTCGACTTCGGCGTTTTTTTACCTGTAGTCTTCATGACCCTAAAAAAAGGGGCTCAACATAATGAGGTCATTATCCCATGTTTGAAGGGGCATGGAGACTCCAGGTAGATGTGCTGTAAAGGTCGCTTCCGACTGAGAACTTGACGGGACATTGTTCGTGCTTGGTTGTTTAGCTTATGTCTTATGTAGAAGCCAAACAATGTGCTTCAGAGCCATAAAATGTGCTTTGTGGAGAAGGACTTGTTTTGACTGTGCTTTGGACTTCGCGGGAATGGGTCGTTTGGATGGGCTTGAGGGGTTGTTTCGAAGGCTGCTTTTCAAAGCCGACCTTTGGTGGTCCATAGTTAGTCAAGGTTCCAAAAGGTTTTTTTTCTGGGTGCAACTGAGAGTTGGGTTTTTCTCATCTCATGGTTTTACAGGTCTGACTTTTTTAGGAGACCCCGTTTCGGAGCACGACCTTTGCTCGTGGAGGCAGGCTTGCAAGCCACGATGTTGGGGGCCGCTCCGGAAAAGGTGTCTTCTGTTTTGCGACCCCGGACCGTGCTAAGTTTTCCCCAAAGGAAGCCACAAGGAGACTCGATATGTTTTTTGGTCTGCACCCAGAACCGAAACTTTAAAGGGCAAACAAAGGCTGCCTCTTGTGGTCTCTTTCCCAGTGATTGAGTTTCCCTGTATAGGTAGCTAAGGGCTTGCCACCCTTTGAAAAGCCAAAAGGGACATCAAGCGCTACCTCCTGTCGCCTGCCTGGGATCCGGGAGTTCCGCTCACCGAAACAAAGAAGTGCTTCCCCCCTTGTTTTCCCACCGCAGGTCTGAGCACTTAGGCGAGTTCTGAGCCCCTGAGCCCCCGATTCTCTAAGGGTTTTTGTAATACACCCTGGGAATACACCCACTGGGTATTGACCCCCAGAAAAGGCACATTTCCGGAGAAAACTTTGTTATTTTGAACCATTCTGGGTCATTTCCCAAGGGTGTAATGTGAGGGTGTAAAGCAAACACCCTCGATTGGAATTCTGCCCTGTTTGATAGGACCTGCTCAACTGTGCTGGACAGCATGACGATGGCAGGCGTGCGGGAAGTTCTGCCAGCGGCATTGACTTCTTTAGCATTCCCTCATGGCTCCTTTGGCGTGTGGACATCTTTGGCCAATTTCAAGCGAGTTCCTGTAAGTGAGATCATGTGCATGGGACACACAAATGGTAAGTCCTACTGTGGATGGTTGCGAAATCATTTCGCACCACCTAAGAAACCATTGAAAGCCATTGTTGGCTGGTACTTACAGGGGGAATGGATTCATTCAAGGGCTTCTGAACGGTGCGAAATGGGTCTCGTCCATCCGCAGTACGTTTGCACGACCTTGCGCGGATCTGACAGTTCTTTTGTGCATTTTGCTTGGCTGTTTGGACTTTAACTTTTTGCCAACTCATGGGTTTTCCACTAAACCACTAAAAGTTAAACTTTTAGCAGGGGAGCAGAAAGCAACCGAGAGTTGATTTCGTACCTGACTCCAGGCGCAGACAAGTTTGACAACTTCTTTGTGTGCAGAATACCGGAGGAGGCGGGGTGCAAGTTCTTTTCAATCGGAGGCCTTAACAAATATTCAAGAAGGCGCCTGTTTGAGGGGAAACCCCTATGCCCCTATGGGGGCTGGTCTTTTTTGGGGCAAACTGTGGATTCCAAAGGGAAACCAACAGGAACACCACAGTTTTGAACATCTAATTTGTGTTTGTGTTTTTGTTGGTCTGTTTTGGTTCTGTTCATTTTGAGTAGGGGCGGCAACAAACAAGGCCAGTTTGTTGCAAGCCCATACCCAGGGGTGGAAAGCATTGAAAGTGATGCGGGGAAACGTGTAACCTCCCATTTTGTGTGGCTGGTTTACTTGGCAATTTCAGGAATCCACTGCTCGGCGTGCTGGGGCGAACCTCTCTTTATTCTCGGGTACCTCAAGTAACCAGGGTCATGTCGAACTTCGAGGTAAAATGATTGGCCTCTTCTAGTCGCAACTGGAAGCTGTCGGTTTAGTTTTTTTTTTGGGGTATGGGGTGAGGACACCTGAGTAGTGACTCCCTCAGCACCGGTGGACAACCGCCTTTCTTCTTTTTGCTAAGGGCCCGCCTTGCCCTTTGTTTTGTTCCTAGGCCACCGGGGCAAACAAGTACAAAAGGCCTTGGCTGATCTTTGGTGTGAGGCCCGAAATTGTTTCCGCGACTTGACCTGAGACTTGGTGGCTCCCGAAGGCCATCCGGCTCCTTTGAGGATTTTCCTCGGACACCCGAAGCGTCCGTCTGGAAAACCCGCGGTTTAGGTGTTCGACTATAAGAGCAGACCTGAAAAAAAACCAAAAAAAAAAAAAAAAAACAGCCCAGGTGTCGATTCTCAGTTCGACTTTTAGCAGACCTGAAAAAAACACAAACAGCCCAGGTTTCTTTTGATTCTCAGTTCTTCGGCTCGCCTTCCCCTTTCTTTTCGCGTCCCAATGGGCCCCGCGAAAGGGAGTCTCCGCAGGCCACGAAATTTTTGTGAGGGGAGCCACCTCAGAAAGTCATTGAAAAGATGACCCCCCAAGCCCCCACCAAGATGAGGTCTACCAAAGAAATCCCTTAGTAAAACTCATAATTACCCGCCAGCGTCGCTGGGCAACTGGGTCGCATTGCTTCTCTTCAAGCAACCAGCGGTCCTCGATCATTTGACGCACCTGGAATCAGATCCAAGACACGCCTCAAATCCGCAAAAAAGAGTCGAGGCGCGCGGGGACGAAGGCCGGCTGTGGTGGATGTGGGGGCGTCCTTCTATCTGTGGAGATTTGCATGTGTAAAGGCGATGCTTTTTTGCCATGTTACCGTTACCCTTGTGGGTGTCCTTCATGTTCCCTTCTAACATTTGTTTGAACGAGCAACACGCCAAGTATTTGCACTTGGTCGGATCCATTGCCCATTTTTGCCCTTGTGGGTGTCCTTCATTTTGCCTTTCAACATGTTTCTAAGCCACCAACAAAGAATAGTTTTGCCGGGGGCCCGATGTGCAGGCCAAGTTTGGTCTGACCTTCTGGGTTCCGAACCATGCCTAAAAGTTTTAAACGACGAACACGCTTGGCTTGGTTTCCTTATTTTGGCAAGTCACCAATGTTGCGCCGGTACGCCCTTCTGCTTTTAGTCCTAGGTCCTTCCTTTACCCAGTGCTTCCAGACACTTGGTGGTTCATCAATATTTGTGGCCCCAAAACGCACACGGGTCACATTTCCTCTTTAGTGGTGAAAGTCATGTTTTTTTTTGTGGTTTCCCCGATGGTCATCCCGTGTAAAGGACCTTTTGATCAATTCCAGATACTTCTAAGGTAGGTGTCCAGACCATCACTCTTGTGGGCTTTCCTGGAACTAGGTACCACATAAATGGAATCACGCTGGGTTTCCCGTCGCCAAAAATTCCACGGCTCTTTGGACCAACGATGTTCTCCGGATTTTGACCTTTTGACCTTTATGGTTGTTGTCGTGTTTTTGGGATGTTTTTGGTTTCTTGGTTCTGTTCATTGTATGGAGTTGCAACACAAACATGCTTTTTGCTACCATGCCAAGGGTCGGACAGGAAGTGTTTGGAGCATGACTGTCGTTAAGCGGCAAGGGGCAGGATTTTGCTCATATATGGGTATGTGTCAAAATAGGACCCGGTCTTTGCTTTGGCGTCCCTTTGCACCAACCCAAAATGCCAGGTTCACGGCTTTCCAGACCTAATTTTGTACGTGGGTGGGAACTACAAGGGCGGCCTGTTAGTTTAAGTTGACCCCGAAGCTTCAGGCAACCCTTAGTTCGTGTTTGGAGAAAGAAACCTAAAGCCCTGGTTCTTGCAGGTAGGGGAACCACCCCAACCTCCAAAGCATCGATTCGGCTCCAAACCAAAAAACGGATGAAGCTTCTAGACGAGACCAAGGACTCCGAGTCAAGCGATAGCTAAGAGGGAATCTGAACCATGTTGCATGACTGAAAGGGGGTGTCCGTTTCTCAGGACGACCCCAACATGTTCGTTTGGGTTCCCTTCAAATTCCAAAAAGCAACAGACCCCCCACGGAATTCTGCAGCACATTCGGTGGTCAGCGGGTGAAATCCCTCAGCATCTCTACTTTTGGTATGGCAGCAAAAAACTTTGATTTTTGCAGACCCCCAGTAAAAATGAACAGAACCAAAAAACTAAAAAATCAAAAAGCATGCCAAGAACAGTGAAGTCAGCCAATCGAGGGAGTCAGCTTGCTTCCAAGCCTTGAAGCCTCACAGTGGCGTGAAAATTGCTGGTCTTTGGCTTCTGTCGGGCCCCCACGCCAGGAAACAGTCGCAGTTTCGACCATGTCGACGTGGGCGTTTTTTACGGGAGGGCCCCCCAACAAAAATGGCGGTGGTTGTTTTTGTGGTTTCCCCTTAAACCAACAAGGAAAAGGGCACGCTCGACAAAGACACTTGCCTCACCTTGACTCCGCCGTTGCCTTGTGTTCCATGTTGTCCCGCTGACAAATCAGCAGATAGGCTTGAAGTCGAGTCAAGGTATGGAACCCTATGTGCCAGTGTGCGCATCAACTCGTGTGGCAGCTGACGGGAGCAAGCAGACATGGCGGAATCTGATTCATTACACCGGGCTAAGTAACGACACACATTACTTGGTGGCTTTCAGCCATTTGGTTCCTTAGCTTTTTAGCCTGTTAGTTGGTTTAGTGGTAATTAGTTTCCATTTAACCCACTAAAAGTTAGTCACTTTTAGCGGGGGATCTGAGGGCAGCGCAGATTATCTCATACAATTTGAACAAAATTAAACAGGTGTTTTCTTATGAGAATCTACTTGGTTTGGTTTCACGTTCCTCCACTGCCCTAGACCCTTGTACTACCACGGTGGTATTCGAGGGGTGGCGGGCATGGCCAGCTCCGTCAACAAGGGGCACCCCCCCCCCCTCTCGCCCCCCATTGGCACTGCGACTGGCGGCTAGGTGGTGACCATACGGGCTTGCGTCTCAAGGCGCGTGTGGTGTTTGGGCGCGCGCGCGCCCGTTTTGTTTTTGTTTTTTGGATAGCACGCGGCGCAAGGCGGGCGAGCCATCAGGAAAGCACAGGGAAACCCCTCCGAGTCCATGTTATATTTTAGTAGAAATTTAGGGTGGGCGACTTAATTTCAACATTAGATAGAGCACGTTCGGTGTACCCCAGATGCGGGCCAAGAGAAAGGGGGAACACAACTCAACGCCTAGGAACACTTTGCACAAGTTTCCCTTGAAAGAAAATCACCCCATTGGGTGAAAGACTAAAAGGTGGCTGGATAGCCATTTTCTATCTTGGCCGAGCATCCAAGTAAGCTCTTTTACAAGGGCGCACAATTGCAACATCATTGTCCTGTGCTTGGAATTTGGTTGACTCACCACAAGCCTAGTCCAATGATTTGAACCCTTGAAGCAGGTAGTTTGGTTTTGACTGGGTTTGACGTTTCATCTGCCTGATTGAACATCAAGCTGGACTTGCCGACCCCAGAAGTGCAAGGAATCCTAAAAAGCTGGGGAGTCCCAACACGTCAACTCATATGACCCTTCCCATGTGGTGTAAAGGGAAACCGGGCCCCAAGAACCCGAGGGTTCAACCATAGAAAGAAAGCTTGACCCTAACCAGTGGCGGTTATATGATTACCCCCCATTCTTTTAGCGGTTTGAACCCCAGGGATGATTTGGTTTGCCCAGTTGCAACCAGTGGTGCCCGGTTTCCCATCTTTTTGGGGAAGGGCTCTCCTTGTACGCCAAGCAAAAAAGGACGCCGGCTCTTTTTTCGCATGGAAATCCACGTATCTGAGTTAATGACAAGTAGATGAATAGCAGTGACTATTGGAGTAAATCATAGCAACCAGAAGGAATAGGTTCTATCGACGGCTGGGGACAAGGGCCATAACCTTCCCACACCTCATGGTTGGAGGTGTCTGGCCTCGGGCCTTTTCTTGTCAGCGCTCTAATTCTGTTGAAATTACGTCGCCCACCTTCGGAGGGATTTCCCAGTGCTTTCCTGATGGCGTCGAATGGCGTCGTATGATGTTCCTGGTGTTTTCGGAGCCTTTTGGGACGCCGGGTTGGTGGCAAGGGCACAACGTCCAACGAATAAGTGCCCTCTCCGAGGCCATAGATATCAGATACCTTAGCCCCAGGTGGCATGTCCTGGACGGGGCGTTTCGTATCCGAGCCAAAGGCAGCCAAAGAGCCTTCCATGTGCCGATTAATATGTGTTTGTACATGTTCCCCTGTTGGTTTTCAAGGGAATGGATCCCTACTGGAAATAGATGTGTGTGTGTTTATCAGGCTGAAGCAAATGGGAGCTCAACCCCCAAAGTCACGCAGGCAAGACCTTGACCCACCCAGTCCCTGAGTTCATGAACTTTAGTCACTTTGGTATGGGTCAAAATTAAGCCAGGAATTGGACCGCAGGTAAAAAAGTTTTTGCCATTTACCAGGGCAAGCCGTTTTGGGGGCTGACCCTATTCTTGACAACCACAGCCACGTTTTGGGTCTGCCTTGTTCGTGGCAAGCAAGCAGGGGTAAGGTGGGCTCCTGTCACCATCACCCCCGTGAAAAGCAAGTGTCCTACTCTGGATGGATTTCGCGCCACCGTTCAGAAGCCCTGGAATGATGATTCCCTTGTAAATGCCAAGCAAACGATGGTCTTCCAGAACATGCTTTCAACGTGGTGCAGGATATCAATCAACCCTTCTGAGGCAAACTTGCTTGAATTGTGTGGAATCAGGTTGATGATTTTTTTATTCGGGAATCAACCCGGCAAAGAAAAATAGCCCGCTAGTCGACCTACCCTGGGTGCTTGTGGTTTTTTGCTCGACTCATTCAGGACAATTTCTCGTGCAATACGTACTTTTAGTTTGAAGATGGCAGTTTGTCAACTGATTGACCCCTGCATGTCTGCGGGAGATTTTATTTTGACACGGCTGCTCCCAGAGATAGGGCTTGGAGAACTCATAGAGATGATGTCCACTAGAACCCGTTTGAGCAGCAGCGCCTTTTGACAAATATTGACTCCATTTTGGTAGACTCTGCTATGTGGCATCATAGTAAGGCAGTAAGGCCTGCATAACCCTTGAGAAGCGTTCTAGAACCAAAAGTCAATCCAGGGGGGGTATCTTTTTGTTGGAGGGCACCACGGGTTTTGGGCGGTGATAAAGGGAAGCCAAAGGGGAAAAAAACCCGCGATTTTGGGGGTCCGACCTCGAGAAAGAGCTCCCCTGGCCCCAGCGTCTCAGCGTCTCAGCGGCTCGCAGGCGGACACGGCGTACCTCACCGGAGCCACGCCGAAGTTGGATAGCATCGTGCAGTTCCACGTGGGCCCCTCGCCGAAGACAGTTCTCGGGGATCTAGGTCCCCCAGCGAGGCGAAGGGTGCCCGACCTCTCACCGTAACTTGTTTGGTCGGGAGATTCGGTTCCCCCACTAAAATAGACGTCCTGAAAAATGTTGGTACTTGGAGTCTCCGGATCTGACCTGAAACAAAAAGGGGTCAATGACTTCTTTATTTGGGGTAAAGACCCCATTTTAAAAGGGTCATGGAGACTCCAGATAGCCCTTTTTGGCACAAACAGGTGGGTTTCCCTTGTTTTGGTTTTAAAAGGGTCTCGACGAAGGAATGTTTCTGGGTACCCCTTTTTGGGACAGAAAAGGTTGGCTTTCCTTTGTTTAAGGGTTGGCGCTTTTTGGGACGAACAAAGTAGGTTTCCCTTGGAATACCAACCAAAAGGCAGTCCACCATGTGGGTGTCATTTTTTGGGTGCCCCTTTTTGGCACTGATTTTGTTGGGAAACCAACAAACACACATTTCGTTGAGTTTTGCCAATTTGTCCATTGCGACACAATTCCCAAATCCATCTCAGGAAAAACACAAATCCGAGCCCAGCGGTTCCGGAAAAAGCCCAAATCAACCGCTCCATTGGCTAGAGACCGACCCCAAAGCTTTCTGTTGAAAACAGACGAATAATCCACCAAGCTGAAATCTGTCATTTTGGGCCAGGAACATGACATCATTCAAGCTGAACTAAGGACCCCTGCAAAACAAACCTACGTAGGGACTCCTTAGGCGTTCCATTTTCCCCCTCTTTGTTTGCTGGGATGCAACCCGCCAGCGGATTACCCTGCTCCACCGCGGTTTCCGAGGGCGAACATGGCAGAACACCAGCAAGTCCGCATGATAAAGCCCAAAGCAGCTACTTCTATTGTCATGACAGAGTCTGGATGTAAAGCTGCTGTTGAACGTACCCCCGTAACCCCATTCTAATTAGTTGGGCCCTTGCAGGGCGAATGGTGTCCTTTTGGATACGTGGAAGGCGATCGAAAATGACTAGAGGGGAAATCTGCGGAATCCGCCTATGCGGGCTCCTCAAAAAGGATAGATGTTGGCCTTTTGGAACGTGACCTTTTCTGCCCAGACCAAGAGGCAACTATACTCTTGTTCTCTCGAATGGGGGGGTAAGGTTCAGGTGGATCATGCACATGAATACAACTATATGTATGATATTATACAATGATATATATATATATATATGTAAGAGCCCCTGTGATATTTCCCCCTTTGGAGGGTTTGGACATGAGGCATCACTAGAACCACCACCACATGTGGTTTGTCAAAGGCTCCAATCATCGCTTGTTGTGAGGAACCAAAGGCAAGAATCACTGCCGACAGCTTAGCAAGTTGTCACCCGCAGTCCGGCCAAAAAACGCGTTGTGTTGGTTGTGCAGGGGAGGTTTTTTTTCTTGGTGGCTCCCAGCCATCCGGTTCCTTAGCTGTTTGGCTTTTGGGGGTTTAGTGGGGATTTCCATTCAACCCATTCTCACTTGCCCAAAGCCGACCTTTTGACCTTTTGGTTTCCCATGTTTGGTCCATTTTTAGTAAAGGTCCCAAAAGGTTAACCTTTTATTTCTGGGTCCTTTGGGCAACTGCGCATGAAAAGTTCCACCTCTGGCAGGGGATCAGAGGGAGTTGTGTTTGTTAATTTTGTTCGTGTCGGGGGTTGGTAAGAGCATCTTTGTGAAATGAAATGGTGCTAGTAAGAGGCGAGCAAGGTTTGCTCTACCAGACACCCTAAGTCTAAGTCGATGCTTGGCTAGGGGGAACAAACGACGCATGGTCGAATGGAAAGATCCTTCTTGCTGGTGCTCAGTAGCGAATGGCCTTCCGGGTTTTGGGAATGAACCTAGGGAATCCAAATTTACGGAAACCATAGGGGACGGTTAATTGTGGTCCTGAGAACCGGCAAGAAAAACAGGTTCAGATATTGACTTCTTGTTTCAACTTGCAAAACATTAAGAACACATTTTACATGCAGTTGTGGGTCTAACTGCCGCCCTTTATGTCTTGATGAAAGACTCGTATTGGTTCGGAGAACCAAACCCAGCAAGGCTTTCCATGGTTCCCTTCATCGCAGTTTCTCAGAAAAAAATGCGCAAGGGCCATCGGTTGGTACTATCTTTTGGGGATGTCTTCTTTCGAGGGAACATTTTTTGGGTTGGTTGGTTGGCCTAGAGGGAAACCGCAAGCGCAAGGAACCTTGCTAGTAGAGTTGTTTTTCTTTTTGGGCCCGTAGAACTTAAGGGTCCCCCCGATTTTGGGGGGGTTCCTTTTGTTTTTCTTTCTGAGGCCTCTTGGAACTTGAACAGTTCCCCCCGATTTTCTTTTTTTCAATTGTTTTTGTTTGATTTTTTTTTTTGGAACTTAAAAAGTTCCCCCAATTTCCTTTTTTTACACTTTGTTTTCTTCCGATTTTTTGGCTTCCTCGTCGTGTTTCCTCTCAGGCGACACCGTCACCGCCCTGGAGAAGACCACCTTGGCCCAGGGCGGCAGCGAGCTGATCTGCTTCTCCACGCTGCTAGGCGCTTTCGAACGCGCGGGGAATTTTTCTTTTCCCGGTGGCAAGCCTTCGCGGTTCTTGGCTCATGTTTTTTTTTTTTTTTTTAGTTTTTTGGTTTTTTGGTTTTCTGTTCATTTTTACCGGGGGGTCTGCAAAAAACAGTCAGTTTTTTGCAAGCCCATACCAAGAGTAGAGATGAACCTGTGGGGGGTGGGGGTGGTTTTGGGTGAAATGTGGGGAATCAGACCACTTTTGGAACGGAACGCCCCCTTGTTTTCATAAACTGGGGTTGATTAGCGTCACGTGCCCAGTAGAAAATTGCCCTAGGGTTCAACCCCCCATAGAAAGAAAGTTTGAAAGGGAAACCACCGGGTCCCAACAATAACCCTAGGGTTCAACCCCCAGAAAAACCAAGTTTGACCCTAACCAGTGGTTATGATTACCCCCATTGTTTTGGTGGTTTCAACCCCAAGGACCCCAGTGGATTCCGCAACCCTTTTTTCTAACCCTTTTTTGGGATCAGTTCCGGTTCCTTTGCAGTCAACCAAGCAAAAAAAGAGGCCCATTCCCGTTTTCCACGCTCTTTCTGGTGATGGGCTTCCAAATCAAGGAAAACCCACCAGTTGGATGGTTTGTAGGGGTTATTCCAATTCTCATTCCTTGCTGAGCAGGTTCCCAACCAAGTCAATTCCTGAGTCCATGGACTTTGGTGACTTTTGGGGACCGTTCTTGCTTCCACTATCCCCGAGCCACTACGCCGGGAAATCAAAGACTAAACTCTTGACATATTGTGGATGGACAAAATTATGCACCACATTGTAACCATGGTTGAAACCATAACGTTTGTTGGTATTTACAGACTCGAATCATTCCAGGGTTTCTGAACGGTGGTGCGAAATGGATTTTGCAACCATCCACAATAGCGGTTATATAGTGGTTGTATACCCCGTGGTTTTCTTGGGGCAGTGGTTTGGGGGTAGTGCATGATAGAAAGACTGTGGTTTTCCCTTTGGTCTTCCTTCACCACCACCCTAAAAAGGGTCCCCCTTGAGAAAAAGGGAAAAAACACACCCTTTTGTCTCGGGTGAGAGCTGGTCTTGCGGTTGAACTGTCCTGGAAGAAATGAATCCCCTACTTGGGTGCTCGGCCAAGTGAGCAATTGGTGATCGTAAGCTCAGCCACAACCCGCTTGCAACTCCACGAATTGTCAATAGTGGCTTATTCAAACGGGCGGCCTTTTGCACCTCTTAACTTGGTACCAAACATCAAGAGGGACCTTGGAAATACTGTGGATGGACGAAATCCGTTTCGCACCACTTGGAACCCATGCGAAACCGTTGTTGGTTGGCATGTACAGGGGAATCATCATTCCAGGGTTTGTTAGGTGGTGCAGGATTTCGTCCATCCACAGTACCTTGGGTTGCAGTTGGGTGAGTTGGCCGGTACTTCCAGCCTGGTGTACTTCTGACGCGCTCCGTGGAAATGGAAATCCGGGGTCTCCAAAGTTAGTTTGCGCTTTGGGATTCAGAAATACCGTGGATGGGTTTCGAAATTCAGTTCTCACCGCCGTTCAGAAACCCTTGAAAGATTCGATTCCGCAACGTCAATACCAACCAACCATGGTTTCAACCATGGTTTCTTTTCGTGGTGCGAAATGGATGTCTTAACCATCAGTATGGAGCAGAACTTGAACATATGGCTGTGGCTCAAAAAACCGGAATTCCAAAACGGCACCCTGGTAAGTGGAAACATGGTTGCCAAAACCTGCGGTTTGCCCCTTCTGTTTAGTTTTGAGAACCACCCATATTTGGATGTACCCCGAGTTGGGCCCAGGAAACAATTACCCTTTGCCACATGAAAGAACAGAACTCTTGGTCCCCCAGCTCGGTGCCCGACCTCTCACCAGCTTTGGGGGGATGGTTCCACTTTGGCTCATTTTTCTTTGCCTAGGTCCCCAGCTAGGTGCCCTTTCTCACCAACTTTGGGGGGAGGGTTCCCCGACTAAAATAGACGTCCTGAAAAAAGGTTGGTACCAACTTATTCTAACCTCTCAAATCTGGAGGAGCTAGCTGATGTTGCGATTTTGTGGAATGGCTATGGCTCCCCATGACGCACCCAATCCTAACCAGAACCCGAAAAACGTTGATACGTAGGGCTTCAAGAACCTGTAAAAATGTCGTACCCTGACTAAAACATTGTGTTTTTTGTAGGTATGACAGTTTTTCTTCGGTTTTTGAGGCTCCTGGTAAGGGGGACATGTGTGCAAAACCAGCGGTTTGGGTCCTCAACTTCGAGCAGCCAACTCATGGCAGGATAATTATTTTCCTCAGTTGAACATGCAATCTAACCAACAATCAGATGTCTTTGTGGTTTCTAGCCATTTGCTTAGGTGTTTGGGTTTTAGTTGGTTTAAGTGGTAGGCTTTTTCCATTTCACCCACAAGTTAAACTTTCAGCAGGGGATCGAACGGACAGCCCATAGGAGAAACTCCCTCCGGACCCCAAAGGGGGGTTCCTTGTTAATTTGTCGGTGGGGACATAGGTTGGTGGTTGAATGGTGACAAGAATCGGTTAGGACGTCCACAGCCAACCAGTTGAGGCTGGGGGGTTTCCAGCGACGGCACTTTGTTTAAACCCAAGAGTTGTTTAAACAACCGGTGTTTCACCCTCCAACAAAAGCTTTTCGGTTCCCAGCCATACCTGGCTGTGGCTCAAAAACATGTACTAAAATGGCACCTTGGTAAATGGAACCAAAGGCTAACACCTGCGTAACCCTAGCTCGTAAATTTCGAGCCACACCCACCTAGAGATTTATTTATACCCATAGACTTGTAGGGTTTCGAGGAATTTATGATCTAAGGGTGGCTTGGCACATAGCCCTTCACACCGGTTCCTTGGCTTCCCTGGGTTTCAACCCACTTTATAAGTTGCATGGGATGACCATTGGCTGCAAAACAAAAGAGACAACCTATTTCTCCACGGGAAAAAAGTTAAGCGCTGAGGCAAGTCTCTTTGAGTCTGGCCTCCCTTTTCCTGCGCTTCTCGTTCCCTGGCATCCCTCTTTCTGACATCCCTGGCAGTCTGAGCAGTATATACCCCTTTTTGAGAAAAGGGGTATGAACATCAGCAGGCCGTTTGGGTTCATTTGCCCAGAGGGTATGTAGAAGTGTACAAGCACCCCTGGAATGACATATCCCAATAACATTTGAAATGTTGAGAACTTTCAGCAAGGGCTACCCTGTTTCGGCTTGCAGTGTGTTTTGTTGTTCGGGAAAGCAAAGGGAAGCCCAGCATTCGGCTTCCTTTTGACACAGACCCACACAGGTTGAATTCCACCCATCCTCTGCGGTTCACACAGCCATTAAAACAACGGGGGTTCATAGAACCACCACTGCTTACCTAAGGATTGTGTGAAGATTTCGTCCCGAAACTTGCGTTGACATGAGTTTGTAACCACCGGCCTTTCGGCCCAATTCGCCACCTGCCCAAAGGGCGGGACTTTCTTCTGAAACCTCGGCCGCGGCCTCGCCATCATGGCATGCGCAGCCTGAGCCACCTAGAGCCAGGCCAGTGGAAAACATCAGCCCGTTGACTTCGTGCGCAGCGGGGCGGAAGACCAACATCTTCAAGTTGGTAGCGGAGCCGCGATTCGCGGCTACCGTCATCTCCATCACACCAGAGCCCATCACGCACCTCACGCTCCCCTATGGCATCCTCAGCGAAGGGCACTAAGCCCGATGAGTCTGGCGGCACCGCCTCCGGCCACTCCAACGAAGTCGTCAGGGACAACTTCATCCCGGTCTTCGATGGGAGACCCAACAACTACAAGGAGTACCGAATGCGCATCATGCTCTACTACCGGAAGATGAGCCTTCAAAATCGCAAGAGCGAAGCCACCATCAACCTGCTCACCAGCCTCTCCGGCACGGCCTGGAAGAATGTGGAGCACATGGTCGACTCAGTCCCGGACGAGGAGGACGGCTTCGAGCAAGTGGTCGCTCAGCTCGACCTGGCCTTCAAGTATGACGACCGCGTCGAGATGCCCCGCACCTTCGAAAGGTTCTTCTACAACCTGAGCCGGAAGCCGCACCAGAACCTCCTCTCCTACTGCACCGAGCATCGCGAACATCTTCGAGAAGTCGAGCGCCACAAGGTCGTCATCCCTCCGGCGGTCAGCAGCTGGCTACTCCTACGCCGAGCCGGCCTTACGGCCGAGCAACGCCAGCTGGTCATGGGACAGGTTGGCAACGACTCCTCACTCGAGAAAATGGAGGGAGTGCTCTACTACCTCCTCGGCCAGGACTACACCGGAAAGGACAAGCACAACCACGCCCAACGCTGGGTTCCACAGCGCGGCCGTGGCCACTACCAATGGAACAACTACCGGAAGCCCGCCACGGCTCATTGGGCCTACGACGACGAGCTCTACTACGAGCACGACACCTACGGCGACGAGGAGGACGTCTACTGGGAGGACGAGGACAACATCACCTACCCCGACCAACCTACCGAAGAAGAACAACCACAAGATTTCAACGAAGAGATCTACTTCGACGAGGACCACGAGTACACCTACGACGAGGACGAAGAGGAGGCCTACGCCACCTACATCGATGCCCGCAAGAAGCTTGCGGAACATCGCAGCGCTCGAGGGTACTACCCGGTGGTCGCTCTCACCGACACCAACGCCCTGCCCGTCACCTCCACCTCATCATCCCTACCATCATATGGCGGCAGAGGAAAATCCTCGAAGGGCAAGCACTCCAAGAGCAAGGGCAAGGGAGCCGGAGGCCGGCCACCACAGAAGGGATCTGCATCACAACGTGCTCGTGATGCCCTTCCACCTGGCACCAAATGTCTTCGGTGTGGCCAACCGGGCCACTGGGCAGCTCAGTGCCCACAGAACTCCCAGCCGAACTCTCCAAACAAGCGGCCGAAACCGGCCGACAGCATGGTTGCCCAAGAGGAGACCGCCTACCTCGAGGACCACGTCGATCAGCCCTACATCACCGGCATGCAGGAC